GTGTCCCACCAACGTCGGCGAGGTACGATATTAGAGAAAGTATAGGCCCTAAGCTTCGGGAAAAAATTTTTGAATAATAAATCGACCAAGAGAAATCGAAACTTTCGACGCTAACAAAAAGACATTTAAATATCAAAACAAAAGGCGTTTATAAAAGAACCTACCTACGTTACCTAAGCTCGCAGCGAACGTTAGTTAAATTCCTGCATTGAAAATAATGGTATAACATCTTTACTTTTGTTAAAATTTAATTGTTCTTTCGTTACATAATATCAATATCTGTCTCTTATTGTTTTTATTATTTTCAACATTGTTATTGACTCACTCATTTGCGTGTGTTTAGGTAGATTCTTTTGTAAACGAAGTTTTTTGATAATTAAATGTCTTTTCGTTAGCGTCGTTTATAAATCCAATAAACCCAATCGCCCATTCATCTAATAACCGAAAAACATAAAACCAATGATTGGGACTGATGGGTTTTGGAGTTAATGAGGGTTTCGGCGTTTATGGGTTTTAGAGTTTAGGTGTTTAGGAATTTTAGGAATTATGGGTTTATAGGTTATCAGGTTCATGATTAGGATAATGGTTGTTTGGGTGTATTGAATTTATGGATTCTGGTTTATGGGTTATTTGAGACTAATGGATTTTTCCTGATTTAAAAAGAAGCCTTGACAAATTTCATATTTTCCGTAGCTTCAGCACAAAATATATGACTTTTGAAAGGGATTAAAGAAACATTTATTGCTGTACCATAAAATCTGCCGCGAAGCTTGAATTGTTTCCATTGGAATCTTTTATTAATCAGTTTAAAAAAGTACAGTTTTAGAATCAGTTTTACTGATATACTACACCTATCAAAATCAAACAAAAAAATAATATATTTTTACTAAAACCTATACATAGATACGCTCATGCATTCTTCCATTAGCTTCCAATGTCCACCACTCTTCAAATACGTATTAAAGGACTTCAGCACCAATTTGTTTACCAATTCACCGTCATAACTTGCGTGTTACTGTACCCATTGTAACATCGTAAATAAAATTCGCTTTTTTGTTCTCAAAATAAAAAAAAAGTAAGTGAAACAAAGGCACCGTCACACACACATTCTCGTACATTCATCACTTAATGAATAATGGGTTTACATGCTAACCAGGTCCAAAAAATAACTCCCTCGCGAGAAATATTCGACAATGTCGAAAATGCAGGTCTGGATAATTCCACAGATAATAGGGATAATTCGGTAAAATTTCCGTATGAGTATTATCCTGTGACAGGTTTTTCTCGTTAAATTTTTTCGCACGATCTAATTCGTTATTTGCTAATTTTCGACACATCTCCAATAAATGGAGACGGTTTAATTTACGACAGATTCTTCCGTAGCTGACAATATCAAATAAAAAAAGTGTTATCAAAAAAATACGCATCAATAGAGTCACAATGTTTGCGATGGAACAGTTTTAATTTCTAAGGTCCGTAATTACAACTTTTTTATTTGAAATATATTGAATAATTAGTGTAAGAGATAGATTTTCTCGTAGTTTCGGAGTTTTTTTATATTTTCGAGAAGGTTGCAAGGACGTCATCGGTAACTAGCAAAAAGAACCGAGTTTTGATAGCAGATTTGCCCCCACATAGCTTAGCCCGAGAACAACAAGGATAGATCAAAGAAGTGTACGTCTATAACTAACGGCGACCAAATATAACAAACCGAAAATCCATAATATTCTGTAATTTTTTTAAAAGCTGACAGGCCAACTTTCTTATTTGAAGTGATAGACTAGTACTTCCAAATACAAAGTTGTAGGAAAAAACTTAACTAAGAAAAATTTACAAATAATGCTTTGACAAATCTTCAAATTCTAAATAAAAAATGTTATGTCACATTTCTTTATTGGAGAGCCGTTTTAGAACAATCACCAAAAAGTGAAAGTTTAAAGTTTCTGCACCTCCAAGTGGGACACCCCGTAGAACTAACACAGTTTCTCAAAAAGTTTCTCTAATGGTATGGTTGCTAGGTTTAAACACAGGCACATAGATAAAAGTGGCCCGTTCTTTTGATCACAAAATATCTTTATGTTTTTGGATCTACTGATCACGAATCTGAAGACAATTTGGCACCATCATCATTTTCTAAAAAATTTCCACTCAATTCATAAAAAAGAATTTTTCACGAATTTTTCAAAGAGGTGTATATCACAGTTTATTTAAATTAACGCTTTCGATTTTAGCGAACAGTTTTGTCATCAAAAGATCTATGTAGTGATTTTCTCTTTTTACCTTTAACCTTACACTTTCTTTTCAGCATTCTACTGTTGGATGTTGAGAATAATTTGTCGCTATCACATTCACCTCCAACTTACTGACATACCATTTCTTCAGTTCCTCTTAATCTTGGTAAAATCGTTCACCTTTCTCTTCTTTGTGGCCACCTAAGCTATGGGGGAAATATTCCAAATGAGAATCTATTAAGTTCATTATATGGTTCATTGAAGATTCAAATTCTCTGAACTTTCCGCGATTAGTTTTATAATTGTGACTTTTGTGATTATCCAAAAAGTTTTGTGTTACATTTTTTTATGCTTTGCCATGCAGTCTTGCAATACAAAATCTTCATCACACATATCTTACGTCAAATATGCCCTTTCAGTTTAGCGTTACTGATTTCGGGATATTTATCTTCAAAGTAGCCGTAATATTCAACGTCTTTGTCCGAAGCCTTAACAGATTCTTTCATTAGTTCAAGTTTTATATGTATCAGAGAAAACAGACCCTTGGATGAATCAAGGCAAACCTCTTGAGTAACATTAAAATATCCTGAACTGAGATCTCTTTGGTTAGGTCCAGTTTTTGCTCAAAATGTTTCTTCTTGTCTTTATTGTCCTATAAGCGCATAAAAGATGTTCTTAGATTTTTCGTTTCGCTGTTCATTTTACTGTCATCCCTCTTCGTATTCCTTCTAGTCTTCCTCTTAGTATTTCTCAATTCTTGTTTTCTTCTTTTTCGGCTTTATTTTCAGTAGTTCCTCGACACACAACTTCCATAGACTGTTCTGCGAAAAAACTCACTTTCGTTGTGTGAGTTATATTGCATTCTGAAGAGCTTATCGGTTTTGCGACTTCAGATTTGAGTCCAGTGAGTTTGAAAACATAACAATAATAGAGTTTGATCAAAAGAACAAACCACTATTTACGTGTCTGTAAAATTAACAAATTAATTGCGTCTACTTACAATGATATACAAAGTCTAGTCATTTCAAAGAGATTTAAAACGTTACTGAGCTTTTAAGGAATTGAAGGAAGAAAGGACTTTGTCCTTATTCTTACAAAGTATAAGCCTTATATACATATAACCAGTGAAATAAAAGTTTGGAATATAGCAATTAATGACTTTAATATAGAAAGGAACATATTTTCAAATCTATCTCAGCTTTATTTTCTAAAATTTAGAAACATCCGCAAAGTATAGATATCTCGTACTGAAATTGAGTAGCAAGTGGTAAAAATTAACTAAACAAAAACTTAATTGTGTAATATCTGCTTTTCCTGTTGACATTTCAGTTTCTTGTGCTGGCCTAAACGTTCTTTCGCGAAATTAATAAAACAAAGGCATTTTTATGTCAGCTCACGGATTGCTTTTATATTCCACTGAATAATTTATTATTCTGCAGCAAAAATGTTGCAGCAGAGAAAAACGAGCTTTAAAAATGTTCAGGCAATTATTTTATGTGCAATGCTGAAACAGTCCTCTCCCTTTGAATATTACAATTCAGGAATTTGTCCTCACATTCCCAAAAGTGTTCCGCTGAATATAAATCTACTCCTTAATTGTTACTCTTTATGAAAAATTCTATCGTTGTTTATAAAAGCAGTTCCTTTCCCGTGGCAACTAAAATATTGACTGTCATACAGGGTGTAAATAAATGAGTGCGTAAAGAATAAGGACGTGATTCCTCCCTGAAAAAAATTGTTACAAATTTTATGTGAAATAATACTATTATTAAACATTTTAAAGAGCATAATATTTTCACTATAAAGTTTAATTATTACTCTACCTATAAAGTAACTAGAATATTTACTAAATTTTGCTTAAAGTTATAAAAAAAACTGTATAGACCGGTCGAAATAACTCATTTAGAGGGAAAAAAAAAGAAAATTGTTACTTGGGCTTTAATAAGTGGAAATTATAAAGGGACTTATAATAAAAGAAAAAAAAATAAATAAATGCCCGAGCAGGGGTGGCGGAGGGTTGATTTGGGGGGTTGAAAAATTGTGAAAAATTGTATCATTGGGATTTCTGACAAAAGTTGATGTCAAACTGAAAAGTATTCAATACAAAAGTTGTAGATCATGCAAAAATCTACAACTTTTGTAGAATTCGCTTTTTAAGATAACCTAAAAATTTCCGAGAAAAATGCGAAAAACAGGTTTTTATCTTATTTTTCGTTTTTATTTTTCATTTGCGTAAAAATAATTTAATTTTGACGAAATTTGGTGAAAGTGTACCTTTCTGTGTCTTAAATAACCTGAAATTTTTTTATATAAAAAAAGAAGTTTCCGAGATATTAATTTTTCCGGCCTGAAACGCTTTTTCTTGACGCCATTGTATAGAGCGAAAAAAATTCCTCCTCCTGTATTTGATATTTTTTTTGTTTGACGTTAACTTTCGCCAGAAATCCAATGATAAAATTTTTCACAACTTTTCAACCCCCCAAATCAACCCTCCGCCACCCCTGCTCACGCATTTATTTTTTTTTAGGTTTATTATAAGCCCTTTTACCAAGATAGTAACACTTTGAATGACTGTTATCATTCATTTACAACAAACATTTAGTCAGGTTCCTGAATAAAATACACTTTTGTTATTTCAGAATATAGTATTTCAGTCCAACTAAACGTTATTCATCCTTAGCACGTACCTGGCTCCGGACTGCCCCAGCCCACCACATTTTATTCCCTCAATATGTTCAATTGTTAATATATTTCCCATCTACGTTTCAGTTCCGCCGCAGAAGCCGACTATAATAGACGAAAAAGGCAAAGAAGTCCCCTCATTGGCCGGTCCGTACGAAGAAGGGGGAGACATGAAGCTCACTTGTATAGTGACGGGAGGTAAGTTTATAGCTTAGACGTCATTCTTATGAATTCGAGCACAAAACGAGACGTTCCCGTTTGTTTGCCACAGTATTAATTATTTATCTCCGAGAAGTACGAATGCTTACAATTAGAATAAGACCTGAAGTTGCAAACCAGGTTGTAGTTGTATTGAAACTTGTGTGCTAACCCACTTACGAGTACTTTTGGATGATATTTAGTGTGAAAGTTTCCATGTGGAGAGATCTGATGGTTACGTCACAGATTTTCTTGTAAAACTTTTTTCGTCAATTGGCAGCAAATAGTTTTGTATTCGATAGTGGGAGTTATTTTTTTATCAAGCAATATTCGTTTCGAAAAATGTTTCGAATCATTATTGAAATTGGCAAAAAAGGTAAAAGCATAAATTAACTTGAGATGGAGGTTCTAATTGATCCAAAGAAACGTATCGAAAAAGAAAACTATTAAAGATTTGAAATTATAACACTTTACAGTTAACAAATTAGGACACGCAAAACAGTGTTATAAACAAATTGTCCCAGCGTCAGGCAAAAGCCGTTCGGCAATTCTCTCTTTTTTACATTAAATAGAGCTTATTTTTAAGGTAATCTAAAAAAAGAGAAATCACGTACGCCTCTTTGTTCCCAAGATAACTGTTTTTTAATAATTGTTAATTAACTAATGGATGTATCGGACCGGGATTTTACAGACAATTAAAGAAAGGGTTAAACTTTTATTTCCAGAAAGTTCTACATTGATAGTCCATGTAATAAACGCGCTAGCAGCAGTAAAAGTTAACGTCAATGAACGGCGTGCACACGGGAGATAGAGCGCCGAGCCCGAGCACGCGTGTGAACGGCGCCCTAGTCGCGCGCTAGATTTTTGACTTGAACGTTTGAAATTCGGTTCTTGAGAAATTTTGTGCACAGAGCATTTTCTTTGTATTATAATTAGTATAACCTTTGTCAGGATACAGAAGCCTTAATGCATTATATGACCTTTGTATGTATTTACTAACTTGTTGTCTAAATCTCGATGATCGATCTAAAATTAAACCCAAGTTTTTAACGCTTGTACATTATAAATATTTTGAAAGTGGCCACTTCATAACCTAAGGAATTAAATGAATAATAAAATTAAATATCATCAGCATACATATGAATAGAACAATATTTAACAAAATTTAACAAATTGACTGGTATAAATACTAAATAATACGGGTCCTAAAGCAGAACCTTGTAGAACACCAGAAGAAATTGCCCTAGGTTTAGACAATTTGTCCCACAACCTTGCAGCTTGCGTACAATCCTGATAATTAATAGTATCAAAGACTACTAAAATCCAGTAATATCATTGCAATTAATTTTTTTTTATCCACTGTTTGAAGTGATTAATATCAGTGGTATGCATTAAAGCTGTTGTACAACTGTATCCCGAAAGAAAACCGAATCTGAAGACAGAATTACAAAATTCAAAATAGCGGATGTAGTAAAGAAAATGTTGGAATTTAGAAATCAAGAAATTTTTGTTGGGTACTACACAAATTTCATAGAAAAAAATATAGATATAAATTTTATAATTTAATGCAATGGTTTTGGAAAAAATAATAAGCTTCAGAACACGCTTTCTGCACCCAAATGCCACATCTGGAATACACATGTTACATTTTCGAACAAAAAATGCTTCAGATCTTAGTAGTCCTATTAAGTACTATTATTCAATTAAAATAATAAGTAACATCTCAATGAAAAATACTTTTTGTTCTAGAACAAAAAACTATTTTCTCCAACAAACACATTATTTAGTATAATTTATAAATTATTTCATAAAAAGACGTTGATTTTATGTAATTCATACATTTTTCTTAGTTACTAGACTTGTTCCAACGGATTCCATGATACAACCTACCCCGATCTCCCCTACTAAGGAGTTTGCACGTTTTACGATCCAAGTTGCCCTTTACGACTTAAATTGTAGAACGGGGAAGTTTAAAATTCGGGTTAATATGGAATCTACTTACAACCCTAACATATACGTTACATTTTACTGTCGCTCAAAAGTAATGAAAATATTTCCCTATTTTATTAATATCCTTGACATGGGTTTACACCCGTAAATGTTTTGGTATAGCTAATAAGTGAGATAAAAAAACCTCAAATATAATTTGTATGTAAGGTCAATAGAAATGTCTTATGATGAATTTGTTGTCCAAAAAAATGTCCATTGATTAAATTCAAAGGACATTTGTTTTACGGATGTTAAAATGAATAAACAAACTCTGATTCACCAATTAAAAAATCATATCAAAAAAATAAATAAATAAAAAGGTATGTAAGAAAATAATGACACAGGCACATAAAAAAATTCATATCTTTATAACGGAGTATTATGCCCCCCCGGAATTTCAACCCCCGAAGACAATGGAGTTGTCAGAAATGCTCCATCAGGTCAGGATTTTTCCGTAACCTCACAAAATAGCTCAAAATCAGTGGAAATCTCGATATTCTGTTAAAATAGTTAAGATTTTGAAACTAAAATACACAGACGTGTTAATGTGGTCAGAAAAAACTTTTTATTGTTGCACTTCTATTCTAGTAGTATACCTTACTGGAAACATTGTTAGATAGACGACAACTATACTAGATTTAGAACACATTTTAATAGTATTTGTTTACTTTTAGAATACAAACATTGAAATGTTTCCTATAAAATGTAAAATATTATAACAAAACAAGATATTCAAAATATCAAAACATGTAAAACAACAAAACAAAATATAAAAACGGAATAAGCTAGCTAGGATAATTACTTTGCTTTCACATTTTTTAATTTTTTTTTAGGTTCTCAGTTTTCTCACTTTTGTAGTTACCAATATTCAATATTATATCGTAAAATCCCCTTTCTTCCTCTGGCATATACAGGGTGTACCATATATAATCTATAAAAATTAAACTGCAGCTTCCTGATGATATTTGTAATAGAAAAGTCTTATACGAAAAAGTTCTATCTTCACGTTTCGTTTTTTTTTTTGCAAATTAAAGTTCATTTATTCAACGAAAATGAAGGCCGACCCCGTGTTATTTATTAAAAACTTGGGAAATGTTTTTATGCGACCCGAGATGCAACCTTATAATTTAAATCGATACAATCTAATACTAGTAATACTAAAGGAAGGTTAGGTTACATTGTCAAAGAATTTGTGCAGTAAACTGATTTTGTATTTGTATTGAATTCATTATTCACTTAATTATTAAATATTAAGCATCGTCCATCGACCCATCAGTGTTAAAAAGTGAAAGATTGCAGACAAAAGGTTTTTTATGTAATTCCACGATAGTGACAGTGTAGTTTTTATAAAGAAGAAAAAAATAAAAATAACATACCGATTATATTAAAAACGAGATTCTTATTTCTTACTTTGCTTAATTTTTTAGTTTGTGCACAAACTAGTTTTATAATGAACCGATAAAACAATGCATTTCGCCACGGTAGCGCAGTCGGTCGAGAGTGCGGTGGCAAGCATTTCTCGGCTAGGCTTCCTACTCTGGTCCGGGTTCGATCCCCGGTGTCGGCACTGGCAATGTCGATGGATAATGGGTGTTTGTCCGCGTTTTTTCAAGTGCAGCCCCCTTCCGCACAAGCCTTTGGATTTTGGATTTGGGGGTTGTCTCATTTCTGTGGTGTGTAGGTTGTACCAGGAACGATGGCCATAATGTCACCCCCATGTGCAAATACAATCCTACAGTGCGTTCAGTGACTGCGAGATACGGGAAGTGTTATTCTTCGAGGAGAGGGACGTGGTCAGCAAGTGAACCTTAATGTTGAAGATGCAGTGTTGGAAAATCTTGACGAAGACCCCACAATTAGTACTCGACCACTCGCACAGCAAATAGGAACCTCATCTCGCATCGTACATCGTATCTTAAGGCGCCAGCTGTCGCACCCCTATCATCTGCAACCAGTTCAACAGATTTAACCCCCAGATTGTGATCAGCGAATGAGTTTTTGCAGACGGTTTTTATGGTAATGTGCCAATCAAATAGACTTTCCTGCTTATGTTTGTGTCACAGTGCGAAATTTACCCGTGATGAAGTAAATTTCCATAATATGCACATATGGGCCGATGGAAATCCTCACGCGATTAGGGAAACTCATTTTCAACATCGGTTCTCGGTAAATGTTTGGGCTGGCATAATAGGCGATGTACTTGTGGGTCTCCATTTCTTTGAAGGACTAAATGGACCAATATATGCTGACTTTTTGGAGGACCGGTTGCCTGAATTATTGAACGATGCGACAAGAAAGACATAAATTACTTTTAAAGTAAAATAAAAATCTCATTTCATAGTTATTTCATATAAAAATTAAAACATTATCATAGAGAAGCATGTCAAAAAGATAAAGTTTAGGATCGAAGTGAAAGCATGAAAGCAAAAGAAAAATGCCACAAGAAGGGCCAATTTAACAATTTTACAATTAAATAAACGTTAAATAAATTAGTACAAAAGAAAATATTATAGCATCAGAAAAACACATAGGCTAGAAGTTTATTATAAAAATAGTCATGCAGAATGTCATATAAAAAATTCTTGTAAACTAGTTTTAAGATGTTAAAAGTTTACTACGCAGTTACAAAATACAAATTACGCCGTAATTTAATTAAAATAAAATTACATCGCAATATGTTGGAGAAAGTGCGCAGTTAGAAAACAATATCATGTACACAAGTGACCAATAACAAAAGGACAAATCAGAAAATTTACCTTGTAACGGAAAACAACAAAGCATCGTAGAGAAGTAAACAAGTGGGGAGAGAAGGAAGTTGGTCCCAGACACAGGTGAGGGGTGCATGTTATCCCGTAGCTCCCGAAATAACATCGTAGAAAACGAGGGAACAACCAACTCACACAAAAACTATCTTCAAGAGACGAGTACAGCTGTCAAACCACGACTAAAAGTGAGGTTAGAGTGAGGATTGAACATTCCAAAGCAGAGATAATGAAAAATGTAAGTCCAGT